ATTCTATTCTATTCTATTCTATTCTATTCTATTCTATTCTATTCTATGACGCATCCATAAATTCATAAATTAGATCTATTCACTCCTGGACCACCACCATTATTCAAATGTTGAATTGGAGGGTATTTTTAAAAAGAGAATGCTGGCACACATGAAACAATGAAAAATAACTTGATTGTGCTCATTCATAGCCAAAAAGAAATGTTTGTTTTTTGTTCTTACTTCCATTGGGCGAATGATGAGCCAGTCACTTTCAGAAAAGTATATTCCACTTATAATCTGTTTCCATTTCTGATTTGTCTGTTTTCCTTGTGAAAGAAAGATAAAATTCATAGAAAACTGGGGCCTTTGAAGGAGAGTTAAATACCAAAATAGACAAATTCATCTGCTAAATCTGGATATTTTTCCTGGCTGAACTTCTGTGGTTCAGCAGTTGGATTGTTTGGAGGGCAAAAAAATAATAATATCTCCAGTCCTACATTTTGGGGAAGATCAGAAAGCGGGCAGCTCCTTTCTGAAATAAAGGTTCAGAAAATTGGGATCCTGCCTGCAATATGAAAGTATCAGGAATCTGGCTGGAGAGGATAGGGTTCAAGAAGATAGGGTTCAAATTTTTTCTTTGTATCCAAGAGAGAGGTAGCGTTCAAAAGAAGTTGAATCTTTGCCACTAATGGAGGCTTCAAACTGAGTTTTGAGAAAGGCTTGGCTTTATTGTGGGGCCTGATCCCCCCCAGAATTTCTGGACAAAGAATACATTTCAGATTCCCTCTAGGTTTGATGTTCTTTGGATCAAAGTCACCGTTGCATGTTTTTCTCATCATTCCACTGCTGTGTGGTTTTGAAAATCCTGCCCAACTCATGTCTTTTTTTCCCTTAGGGTGTAAATAAATGATTCTGTAATTTATCACGTATCAGTGTGCCTAAGTCAATAGTCTAATTTCCCATTTTGTCATTGACTTGTTGCAGTGTGTAATTTAAAAAACCAAACGCTGTATTAAAACGGGTCGCCAACCTTTTGGACCACAGGGACCACCAAACTCATAATTTTAGATCCCAGGGCCCACTAACCGATTCTGTGGGTGTGGCCTAATTTGTGGGTGTGGCTTGGTGGTCATGTGACTGGCTGGGCATGGCTTGTATCTAAATATTATAAATATTTATATAAATATTATATTTTTTATAAAGAAAGAACAACTTTTACCCAAAATCAGGCAAAGCAGGCAGATTGAGTTGCTCACAGAATGACAGATTCATTCAGAGATCTATCTATCTGTCACATAAAATTTGCTTGCAAGCAAACTCACAAAATTAACTCACAACAACACACCATGCATGTAAATATTGAATTTTGTATTTAAAAAAGAACAACTTTTACCCAAAATCAGGCAAAGCAGGCAGGCAGATGAGTTGCTCACAGAAATCACAGATTCATTCAGAGATCTATCTATCTGCCATTGGCTAGCTCAGTCTGTCACATAAAATTTGCTAGCAAGCAAACTTACAAAATTAACTCACAACACACCATGCATGTAAATATTGATTTTTTTATATAAAAAAGAGCAACTTTTACCCAAAATCAGGCAAAGCAGGCAGATTGAGTTGCTCACAGAATCATTCAGTGATCTATCTATCTGCCATCGGCTATCTCAGTCTCTCAAATTTGCTTGCCGTGAGTCTGCACTGAATTTGCTTGCAAGCAAACCTTCAGTCCTAAGGGAGGTTCGGCTGTGCTGAGCCGAAGATCTAAAGACTAGCTAGAAAGCAAGAAATCCAACCATTTCCTGCTTCCTAGCTAATCTAAATCTCCCGGCAGAGCAGAACAGCTGATGGTTGGAAAAAGGAAAAATAGCAATTTAGCAGGCAAGTTTACCGGGTAAGGAGTGAGTGGGCGGGGAGGGTTCCCACAGGCCATGTGGGCGGAGCAGCCTTGTGTTTCTGCACAGCCTGGAGTAATTGCTTTGTGGGGATGCTCTGGGAGTGAGATTTCTCTGTGGGCCACCAACATTTTCTCACGGCCCACCAGTGGGCCGTGGCCCATCGGTTGACAACCACTGCTTTAAAAGATACTGTTTTTGTATATGTTAGAAGTTGTGGAAGCAAGTAGACATATAGTGAGAAAGGAGTCAGGAAAATAACTCCTTGGCAATGAGACTACTCAGCAGTGCTTACTTGATTAGAGAGCATCTACTCAAGAACATCAAGGAAAGAGGCAGTAAGCAGGCTGCATGCAAGGTCCGGAACAGAATAAATTTAGGAACACAAAGCTGCCATTTTCTAGGTCAGTCTGCGCTTGGGTTGAAGAAAAACTAACTTTCTGGGAAGGTGATCAAACATTTGACTGATGATAAGTAGTAAAATCTGCCATATCCCTGGGAAAGTGAAATATCTTAACTCTTTTATGTATTACCAATAAAGGAGAATATCTGTAAGCTCAGGGTTGAAATGAGAGGTCATTGGTGCTCTCTAAGTTTGATGAGTTTCCTTGTAGATGTTTCATTACCAAATGAGGTAATGAAGGGCACTGATAATGTTACCTAGTTGGATAATGAAATGAGAGCACCAAGGACCCCACAATCCTCCTCCTCCTCCTCTCCTCATACCTCACTTTCTTCTAGCAGTGATGATGTTACCTAGTTTGGGTGATGAAAAGATCTGTCAGAAAACAAGCAAGCTCAGAGAACACCAGGGACCTCCCCTCGAGATCAATCCCAGTTCTCTTCCCTAGTCTTCCCTAGAATGCATGGGTTCATTGGGATTCTTCTCTACCTGTTCTGGTGCCAGGGGCTTCGGAATAGGTGGATAATAGAAGGATGCTCTGGGTCCCTTCTATCCGACAATCTCATTTAGTTAACCGTGAGAACAACACCGCTTTATTCCAGTAAAGGCAGTCAGGAATTCTTTTGTTGTTGTTGTTGTTGTTCCATACTTTTTAGCTTTTGGGGTCCCACTTGACCGCTTCTCTTAAATCGAGGAGATGTTTGGCAATATGGTTAGATGGAAATATGAAGCAAGGTCTGGGGTATTCCTTTCTGTTGAAAGATAATGGCACCAGACTAAAATGGATACTATCTGTCTAATGACCCATATGTCCTTTTCTATTTCCTGAGCTCCCTGGTGCTGCTTTTAGGATTTAATGACTTCATTTCCCCTGACTTTGGAATGTATGAACTGTTAATTCTTTGAGGCTGTGGCAAGCTTCCATAAAGTGCATCAGTGCTTATGAATTGTGACATGATTTTAGTCCCTTTAGACTTGCAGTGAAGGAAAGGAATATGTTTAAGTTTTGTGGCAGGCAATATGTGGTGTTAAATGCCTCCCTCTCCATAATACTAGCACTAAGCATAGTTGTAAGCAGGAAACAGAGATAATTCTCCCTCATTCTTTCATTCCTTGGCACACACTTCTGCTTCTTGCCCTGTGTATAACTCTGTGAAGAGGTACATGTTGTAAAGCTTGAATCTAGAAGTCTGGAATCTGCACTGTATATCAGACATTAATACAATCGAGCAAGTCCAGAAGTATTTCACGAGAAGAGTACTACATTCCTCTGCTTGCAACAGAACACCCTACATCACCAGGCTTGAAATTTTGGGCTTGGACAATCTTGAACTACGCCATCTATGATTGGACTTAAGCGTAGTACACGAAATTATCTGCTACAATGTCCTACTGGTCAATGACTACTTCAGCTTCAACCTCAACAATACAAGAGCACACAACAGACAGAAACTCAATGTAAACTGGTCCAATCTTGATTGCAGAAAGTACGACTTCAGCAACAGAGTGGTCAATGCCTGGAATGCACTATCTGACTCTGTTGTTACATCCTCTAACCCCCACTCCTTTAATCTCAAACTATCCACTATTGACCTCACCCCATTCCTAAGTGGTCTGCAAGGGGCGTGCATAAGTGCACAATCGTGCCTACTGTCCCTGTCCTATTGTCCCCATTTATTTGTACCTATTTCCTGTATTCTTACTTATAAGTATAGGTTTGTACTTATACCTATTATATTGTAAGCGATTAACAAATCAAATAAATAAAAATAAATAAAAAAACTTCAAGATCTTGCTTGCATGTTAGAAAAACCATAGTGCTTTTTTTTTGGTAAATCCCTACAATAGAGAAGTTAGCTACACAGTATCATTACTACAATTGCTGTTAGTGGCTGTAGTAATATCAAAGGGTCAAACGATTCCAGCTGAACTTTTAAATAATGGTTCAGATCTAATTCGGGACATTGATTCAGTTTGGATGAAATTAGTCTGGTATTAAACTGCACATTGGATCAAATGTTTCTTTAAGTCAAAATCAGAACTGGGCTAGCCTTAGAACTGGCTTGATCCCTGGTTACTACTGCCAAATAATTTGTGCAGGACTGGCAATTCTAGAAGATTTCCACTTAAATTTCTAATTAAGACAAATGATTGACAAGTAATGTTTTAGCAGTCTAGGCCAATTTCATATAGGTACAATCCATAAGAATTAACATCAATTTATATTCCCTTAAACCACTGCATGAGAAATCACACATTTTTTTCTAACATATATGCTTTGTACAGCATGTTTTGATGCTTTCCAAAGAATACCCAGCTTTGTAAACACTCAATAAACACACACATACACCCTTTATGTATGCACTCAACAAATACACACAGAGAGACATACAGATATACATATATTTGTTAAATTTATTTGCCACCTATCTCTCCATGGGACTGGTCTACTTTACTTGCATATGTACGATATATCTGTAAGCATGTATCCATTTCTTTCACCTTACAATATACATTTTGTAACCTAGAATATTTTGTAACCTAGAATATATATATATATGTGTATTTTAAGATAAAAGAAATGGATACATTTCCACAGATTTACCATAAAAAATGGAAAGTACCAGTAATGTTGTTAGCACTACACTTTGCTCCAAGATATATTGTTTTGGAAGTTATGGGAGTCATCAGTGCAAGAATCTTGTACCTACAGAATTCCTGGCAGACATCTGTTTCCAAAATGGTTATGCCTTTGGGTTCGTCAGGAGGAAGACTTGTGCTGTAATCTTGTACCTCCTACCTCCCAACTTTCCTCTTCTTTCCCAGGCTGAATACTGATAGGTGCTTTAGGAAAGCACACAATGCATCTTATGGGGTGGAGCAATTTAAATACCAGACCATAACAGCCTTGCTCTCTCCTACAGGCCTTTCCTGAACAGTTCTTGTAAGGGGAATACGGCTTGTTGTATCTGAATACTCCTGCTTGTTGTATCTGCTTTGCGCTGTCCGTGGTCCTGACAGTTCTATATCTTCCATGAGGCCTGTCTTACCTGATGCAATTCTGCAATGTGTATTGTAGCACAGAGATCCTGTGAGCAACTAAGCTAACATGATTTGGTGGGAGACAGTCTGCTATCTCGTCAGTTGGTTTCTACCCTGCCTAAAGTCCTGCCCTATTTGGTGTCTCTTTATATCCAATCATACATGTTTTCCTGCTGTTTCCACTGATTATTTTCGGGGTCCCCAATCCTTGAAGGATTTCCCAGTTGCAATGTATGCCTGTGAAAGTTGGACCCTAAGAAAGGCTGAGCGCCAAAGAATGGAGGCCCTTGAACTCTGGTGCTGGAGAAGATTCCTGTGAGTCCCTTGGACTGCAAGGTGATCAAACCGGTCAGTCCTAGAGGAGATCAACCCTGACTGCTCTTTAGATGGTCAGATGCTGAAGGTGAAACTCAAAGACTTTGGCCACCTAATAAGAAGGAAGGACTCACTGGAGAAGAGCCTAATGCTGGGAAAGATTGAGGGCAAAAGAAGAAGAAGAGGACGACAGAGAATGAGATGGCTGGATGGAGTCACTGAAGCAGTTGGAGTGAGCTTAAATGGACTCCAGAAGATGGTAGAGGACAGGAAGGCCTGGAGGAATGTTGTCCATGGAGTCGCGATGGGTCGGACATGACTTTGCAACTAACAACAACAACAATCATTGAAGGAGTCTTGTCACTTCATTTTCTGCATTATATTCTTTCGAATATTTGAAAGGAAATTGAATATCATCAATTCTCTTCCCTGGGCAAACTATACCATTTCTTACAGAACCTGATTTCTGGTCTACTCCACTGCCCTACTGACCTCCTGCTGACCGAATTTAGTTTACTAATGCGCCTTTGAAAATATAGAGTATTGGTTATAGTTTTCCAAATACATCCCGACTATTGCAAAATAGGGCAAAAATATTACTTCCTGAATCCTATATAGTATGCTTCCCTTAAACAGAGAAATATTATGATTATATTCATTTGCATTAGCAGAAACATACCATCATGGATGTGATGAGGAGGAGGTGGGGAGAAGGAAGAGGAGGAGGATTGTGGTGTCCTTGGTGCTTTCTGAACTTGGTGGTTTTCTTGCAAACATTTCATTACCCAACTAGTAACATTATCAGTGCACTTCATCACCTAGTTTGGTAATGAAACATCTACAAGGAAACTCATCAAACTTAGAGAGAGAGAGGAAGAGAGAGAGAGGAAGAGAGAGAGAAAGAGAGAAGGAGGAGGA